TAAGTCTGTGGTCAAGAGTACACTGCAAAACCCAAAAATTTAAGGTAACTCAAAACTTTTAAGGAAACGATTGCAACAAACCATTTAAGTTCAATAACTGGGTTTTACAGTGTACTTAAAGAAACTTTCACACTTAAATCTACATTTTCAAGTAATCTGAAATGAGACTTTCTAATCAATTACTGTATAGGGATTTTAAATTCACAAAGCGATGAGACTGAGTTTTCTACGGCAACATCTTTGCCGTTCTTATATTAAATGAAACTTGCAATGTAAAACTAATCCTAATGAGTTCTGTGAACTTAATCCATTTGAGTAAACAAAGCAATCTGAGCACAGTAAAACCCAATAAATGAAGAGTACTTGAACCAACTGAGTACAGTAAAAACCCAATAGGATAAGGCAACTTAAACTATTTGAGAAAACCGATTGCTACAAACCATTTGAGTAAAAAAACTAATCTATATGACTACTGTGAACTTATTTCAATCAAGATGAAGTGATCAACTCATTACCTTCAACACTGAGTTCAAAACTCTATGAGTAGAATTAATGTTCAGTAAATTTTGAGTTCACTACACTCATTTTATTTGATAAAGTTGACTGTTGGGTTTTGCAGTGTAGCGTTTTTATGGTCACTTTATTTTAAGGTAAAACTCTTGCAATAAACAAAACATAAAACATTTAGCTCAATTAAGTACTATTGTGCTGCTTAATTTAGTTTGGGTACTGGTTAGGATTAGGGGTGTAGACTATAATCATGCTTTATGAGTTCTAATAAACAGCCAATATCTTAAGAATATGCAGGTAATAAGCTTGTAGTTAGTCTTAAACTTAATTCCTGGAGGACCGCAACTCTGCACAGTTTTGCCCAAGCCCTAATCAGACACACCCGATACAACTAATCAAGGTGTTCAAGACTACTCTGGAAGACCTCGATTAGCTGGATCAACTGTCTTAGTATAGGGTTAGAGTTTGAGTTTGAGACCTATGAGTCAGAGGGAATTGGTACTTAAACTAAAGTGTTACCATATTTATGTGTATTTTGTTTTAGTTTGATTATTTTAGTTTGATTAAAAATACAACAAAAAATACTTTTATTATAATATTTTTTTGTTTTAATAAATTTTAGGATATCATTTATTCATTTGGTTGATGATTTGATGACCATAATTAATAATGTCCCTCATGTTCTTAAAAAATATAGGTTCTTTATAGGCATTTATGGTTCTATAAAAGAACATCCAAACAACCTTTTCATTCCACAAAAGCTCCTTTTCACACTGTAAAAAATATTGGTCTGTATTCGGTTGTAAAATTGCACTATGGGACCTTGATCTCTGCTCTGTCAACTTCCAGCCGCAACCCATCACTGGGAAACATCCATTCACACTCATTCACACACATACACTATGGGCAGTTTAGCCTACCCAATTCACCTATACCACATGTCTTTGAACTGTGGGGGAAACCGGAGCACCGGTTCAACTCTACAATTTAACAAAGTGACTTTTACTGACATTTGAGTTTGAAACAATATAACATATTAGAACTAATATATAGAGAAATAAATCTGTAAAATAACAGAAATTGTACTTTTCTGGCAGTTTATTACAAGGTTTGTAGCATAATATGCAACACCACACTCACACAATATATCACTTTAAACTATTAAATTGTTACTAAAATTCACTTTTTCCAAGGTCAAGGTACCATAATTTAATTTAAAAAGCATAAATAAATGGGAGAACATAAAAACATGAATTACAAAATATGGAAAAATGCTGATTTTAGATATTTTTACAGTGCAGTGTCAATAAAGTTCTTAAGATTTTTCTAAACTAATTTTATTTTATTTTTTAACTGCAAGGTCTATAAAAGAAACTCAAAATAAAGCTTAAATGACAATAAACTATTTTTGGACCTCTCTTTTTAGAGTCAATTTATGAACCATTGCTGAATAAAACTAAGGACTTCTGTTAAAAATCTTGCTGACTGAGTTGGGAAAAAAAAAACAGGAAAGTCTCATAACATTCACCACAGTTATTATCTCACCCATAAATCAAAAGCTTCTCTTCCAAAAAAACATCCACATTAGAAACTGACGTCATGGCCCACTATTGATAGTGAGATCTATGGTAAGAATAATATTACAGTACATGTGTAAAAAACACTTTCTAACCCCTGAAGTATTTCCTCTAGTGTGTGTTCTTGTTTTTCATGAATAAGCTCTTTATGCCCTGTTTTTAGCACAAGCAATGAGAGCCGAGGAGTCAGACAGAAACTTACAGAAACTGCACGCTGAGTTTTCAAGAGCCGCTTAGTAAAAATGTGCAATATGTCAAGGAGAAAAGACTAAATATACAACTAAAAATAGGTGATTGACATGGGATTGTTTGTTTGAAAGTATTTCAGGGTGGTAAAACATCTGACCTTCAGACTGACGTGTGCATTGGCTGACAGAATGAGCACTAAATCCCTTCAGTGAGGTTTTGTTGAAAGAGAGCTTTATGCTTTTTTTTATCTTTTGAAGGGTAACAATAAACTTTTGGATTTTAGAAGCTCTTGCTGTGTTTTTTTTTTTATATATAACTGCTTTTATCCCTTGTGAAGTTGAGGGAAATGCATTGTGCTGTTCAGTTGGCTATGAAGGCTTGTGGAAAATAAAATGTTCCAGTATTAACATTTTGACAACTCTAAAATCGTGTCTGTACACACAGTTTGATGCACTGTTCACCTGCAATGAATACTAGAGGCAATTTGACAACAACTTATTTTCTGTTGCGACCCCAGAATAATAAAGGGACTAAGCCGAAAAGAAAATGAAAGAATGAAGTTCTGTAGTTTTTAGTGTTATGCATGCTTTAGTGAACCAAATTCATTCATATATTTTTTTCAAAAACGTTTTGATATAAAACGGCAAATTTGGTTAAAGGGATCGTTCACCCAAATATGACAATTCTGTAATCATTTAATCACCCTTTACTTTAAACCTGTTTGACCTTTTTTTCTTCTTCTGTTAAACACAAAAGAAGGTATTTTGAAGAAAGCTAGAAACCTGTAACCACCTGTCACCTGTGACTTTCATAATATTAGTTTTTTTTTCTAATATGGAAGTTAGTGGCAACAGGTTTTTAGCTTACTTCAAAATATCTTGTTTTGTCTTCATAAAAAAATAATAATAATAATTTGAAACCACACAAGATGGGGTAAATGCACAATCCATTTTTCATTTTTGGATGAACTACTTTAATGGTAAAGTTTGTCTCTTTTGATCTATAAATAGATGATCATGAAGCAGTGACATGTTTTATTAAATAGGATTGTGTACATATAGCGGATTGAGTGTTTTATGTTACAGGGTGAATTTATACGAACACCATTTTAACTAAATGTAAATCTTTTTGTGTTTTGACCATTAACACAATGGCTGATCCTGAAAACAACAAGAAAAATGCATGTGCAACCTGCACGTTTTTGAGCACAATACCATTAGCATTTCTATTTAAACTACAAAAAATGCTGCTATAAATGGAAAATGGAGGTCATTTCACCTTGAAATCGCTGTGAAATGTGTAAGAGGAATTACAGTGCATCCAGATTCATAGCGCTTCACTTTTTCCACATTTTCTTTTTATGTTATAGCCTTATTCCAAAATGGATTAAATTAAATTATTTTCTAAAAATTCTACACACAATCAATACCCCATAATGACAATGTGGAAAAAAGATTTTTTGCAATTGTAGCTAATTTATTAGAAATAAAAAAAACCTGAAAAATCCTATGTACGTAAGTATTACCAGCCTTTGCCGTAAACTCTAAATTGAGCTCAGGTATATTCTGTTTCCACTGATCACTCTTGAATTGTGTCAGAAGCTTAATTGGAGTTCACCTGTGGCAAATTCAGTTCATTGGACATGATTTGAAAAGGCATACACATGTCTATATAATATAAGGTCCCAGGGTTGACAGTGCACGTTAAAGCACAAACCAAGGATGAAGACAAAGGAATTGTCTGTAGACACCAGAGACAGGATTGTTTCGAGGTACAAGGCTAGGGAAGGTTACAGAAAATTTTCTGCTGCTCTGAGAGTTCCAATGAGCACATTGGCCTCCATCATCCATAAGTGGAAGATGTTTGAACCACCAGGACTCTCCCTAGAGCTGGCTGGCCATCTTACCTGAGTGATCGAGGGAGAAGGGCCTTAGTAAGTAACTTTATTAAACTTTTCGGTCCCACTTTATATTGTGTCCTTAACTATCATGTACTTACATCAAAAAAAAAATAATACAATGTACTTACTGTGTTTATAATGTATTTGAGAACACTTGTGGTGCTTTTGAGTTGGGATAGAGAATGGGTTATGGACAGGTTTGGTGGTATAGGTAGGTTTAAGGGTGGGTTAAGGTGTAAGGGATGGTCAACAGTGTATTTACAAATGTAGTTACAAAAGTTAATTACACATGTAATTACATACATGTATTTAAGCACAAGTACACAGCAAATACATGTATTTACACAATAAGTATATTGTAACAAACTATTATTTCCTGTTTAAGTACATATTTGTTAAGGCCACTTAATATAAAGTGGGACCAACTTTTCAAGGTTGAGAGTTTTTGAAAGAAAGATCAAGGCACAATAATGCAATTCAAAAGCTCATTTAAACAGGGAAAAATACAAAATAAAAATGTGAATCACAAAATAAAGAAAAACTGCTAATTAAATTATATTGTTTTTAGCAGCTTTCATTCCTTTTGTTGTTCCTGCTATTAAATAAAATGGACGAGTCAGGTATAGTCATGAAAAGTATTTTCCACTTTTCTGCAAAACTATGGTACTTTATCAGACATCAGGGCACAGATGTGAAGTAAATTACCCCGCACTCTCCCCTAAATATTCTGCTCTCTCTCTCTCTCCCTCCCTCTCTCTCTCTTCCTCTCTCTCTCCCTCCTGACCACAAAAGAAAATAATCATTGAGTTTCTCCTTTTTTTATAAACACTCCCTCCCCTTCCAGTAGTCTCCAAATAGGGGCACAGACTTTCAGGTTCTCAAACTTTGCTGGAAGAAGTGAAAAGAAGTTTAGGGCAGGCTGATTATGTGTGCTCCACTTCTCTGCCTCTGAATGGCAAAGCAGAGAACAGAGCTGTGAACGTTTTGACCAGACACATGGCTCTACCTTGTGACATGCCAGAAGATTCTGGTGAGTTCTGCCAGTTTTTTGGGGGGGCTTTGTGTGTTTGCTTAAATGTATTAGGACTTTTACCTCTTAAACCAGATATAAGCACCGATGGAGCTAGTTTATCCATTTTGCATGCTTTCATGGTCTAAATATTAAACTGACCACTGATATGAGGGCATGACTCAATGCTTCAGTGATTTCTGGAAATATATCTTTATTACATTCTTTTAGTCATAGGAATTGCTGTAAGATGCACTGAAACATATTCTCTTTGTCACTGTTATTAGCTTTTAATCTGGATAATATTGCTTGAATTCATTTTTACATTTGTAAGAAAATAAACCGAAATCTAGCAATGCAAGTTTTTACTTCCAGTTCAATGAGAACTGTGGAATTTTTTGCATTAAACTTCCAAATGTGTTTGTCTACTCTGAAGCATGAGTTTTGGTTGAGCAAGATGAGTTCCAGACACTTGGCATTATTCTTGACTTTTTATTTGGGCATCAGGCTTTTTCATTATAAAGATACACACTTCCTCGACTTTGAACTGGTTTTGGCATTCATTTTAGGAATGACACAATGCTACTAAAAGGTGCCTGAAGGAATTGTAAAGGTCAAAAGTGCTGTTTGAATGGGCGTCCAACTCTATCATTTAGATGTCTAATATGTTTAATTGTTTTCTCCATTGTAAAACATTACATGCTCTGGACTGGCGGTGCAGGCGATTATGTGGGATAACAATGAAGGAGAAAATGTAATCAAAACCATTGTTCATTCACAGTGTTGATCAGTAAATCTAAAAAATAATATTTGCATGCTGTCCGTTGGTTTAAGAATGATATGCATCTTAGCAAAAGTTGCAATGTTTCTCATTCAGACTTAAAAATGCTAAATGTGTTTCAGCTTTTAATTCACATTGATGAAAAAGATTCATTTATTTTCTCGATGTGTTTCAGGACTAAATAAGAAATAAATCCCTGCTTTCATCACTGCATGCACTGCAGAGCAGAAGTTCATTACAGGCTGTGTCGGTCTGCTGAGTTACAGATATTATCATTCCTCCATGGAGCACAAATGTCAATCAGCGAGCATGAACAACTAATTACTGCTGTGAAGAAGCAAAGATGCTCCTGATTATACTTGTTTAAATTGTTCTTAGTAAAAGAGCTTGATAAACATTGATATAGGAATAATAACATTTTTTTTTTTAAGAATGCATCCCCATTGTTAAACGAAGGTGACTGCAGATTTTTTTATCTATATGAAAACACAATAAATATAAACAAAAAATTCAAATAATATATATGTTTAGGCAAATTGTGCTGAAGAACCTAAATGTGCCAACCCAGTGGAAAAGAGCTGCCGTTTTCCCTCAAAGACAGCTATCGCATTTCACACATTTCCAGATGTTGAGAGTGTTGGGATGGCCTGGAATAGACAGGGCACTGAAAAAGACATTACAGACGAGGCAATGAGTCCTCTGTATGATATTTTAACACCACCGCTGTTTTGTAGCAAAAATAATGACAAGATTAATTAAAGAGTCAATACTTGTTTTTCAGAGACATGGATGGGTAGTATTTATATGACACATGTATTTCAAAGATGTATTTTAAATACAAAATAGTATTTTGTAATTTGCTTTGATAGGGTTTATGAAAGTGGGTTAATATTTTGTATCAAAAGATTCCTGTATTTTTGTATTTTTGTATTGATTTGGGCTTTCTCATGTATGTGCCTAGGCTTGAGATGAGAATGCAGAATTGATTTATATTGAAGAAGGTGGATAATGCTTGGAGTATGGAAGGAAATTATGTATTGCATGACGATATCTACAATTCCTTGGCTGTTTAAATTGCCTGTAGTATAGTTAATGAAGAGGAAAGATGTCTGCAAACAGATGTCAAAGTGGGACAATATATGAAACAAAAATATTTAATAATACAGCAACTCAGTTTATACAGCCTTGTCACCCAACTCAGGTTATTCGGCATCTGCAGGATATATTCAAAAAGTTTATTTGCAAAAAATGATAACTCTAAATAATAAATTATGTGGAAATTACATATGAAAATAACTAAAACTGGATTTTTATTTTAGTTTTCAGAAATCATGTGTTACAGTGTAGGCCTTTTGAGGAGTTCAATTGCAAAAAAAAAATAGATTTATGAAAAATTCTGTAAAAAAATAACACTTCATATATCACCCTTTTAAAATATAGGAATGTTAGGACGTTGAATAAGCATTGTACAGAGATTATTAATTGTACTGGCCACACAATGGGTTGAAACATAATCAACATACACATGTATAGTACTATATTCTAACTCATTATTGAGCAGGGCTTCCTCTATGAGATTTGTTAAATGTGTGTGTGTGTGTGTGTGTGTGTGTGTGTGTGTGTATATATACTAAATTAACAAAAAAGAAAAAAAGTATAGATATCTAGCTACTCATGTACAGTAGTAGAGGCAGAGAATCGGCTAATACTTGTTTACTTCTCGTTTAACTTCGAAGGGATTGATCGAATAGGCCTAATTATGGAAGGTTTGACAGGAAGGTGTCAGGGTTCTGCCACTTTGGTCTTGAAAATTCTTGTTTTGGTGGCAGAGCTCTGACACTTCTCATGTCTGGTCCTGTTTCTGTCTCTGTGTGAGCGCGCGCCGTCGTGGGTGTACGTAGAGTGTGCGCGCTCCTGCTTGACGCGGCCGTGCGCGCGCTCTGCGTCCCTCAGACGCGTGCGCTCTTGTACTCGTGTTTGTGTTTTCGTCTGTCAGCAGCATGGTGTTTCATTCCCAGCGTCTCAGTCTTGTTGGTTTCGGTTTTGGTCGGCGCTGGGATGAAGCATGCATGCTGCATATGTGAGCGCATGGTGAGTGTTTTCATTCATCGTGTGCTCGTGTCTTGCGTCTTTTGTCAAAGCACATGGCTCGGTGTTTACATTGGTCACGTGCTTTTGTCGTGTGCTTCAGTGTTGTGTTATGTGAGCGCATGGCTTGTATTGTCTCTCTGTGTCATGCGCTCTCCCGTCTATTGTCTAGTCCCACCCTCCTTGTTAACCCATATTTAGTTAATTGTGTTCACCTGTGTTTCAATTTACTTTTTTGCTTTATAATCCCCCTCATGTTTTCAGTCCTTTGTCAGTTCGTCGTTGCTAGTTTCCTGTCTTGTTGTGTCCAGCCCTGTCTTGTCCTGCCAGTCCTGCCAGCCCTGCCAGCCCTGTCAAGTTTGTTTTTGCCTTTGTATTCATGTTTTCCCCTTCGGGGTAGTTTTGTTTTGCCTTTTATTTTTATTTTATTATTAATAAATACCCATTGTTTCTTTGCACTTGAGTCCTCGCTCCTTTTCCCCACCACGACCGTGACAGAAGGTTCATGCTAACTTGTAAAAGTATTTTGTAGTATTTTTAAAATACAAAAATACAGCATTTTATTTTGATACATTTAAGGCTGCTGTATTTTGATACACCTAAAATGGAGGTATTTGGTATTTTATTTTAAAATACATAAAAAAAAAAACACATTTCAATGTAAAAAACATTTTTTAGCTTTTTTTATTAAGTTTTTTTAATTTTTTTATTAAGAAGTCAATCATTATTACATGCATATATAAGTAGCAGCCATTGCATTGTCCAAGTGACAGTAACATTTGGTTTCTGTGGACTGTACGTATTAGACCAATCACAAAACACTGGGATATCTGACCAGTCAGAGTAGACTCTTAAAACGGGGGTTAGGTAGACCGAATACATAAACTAATCATTTCAGCCACAGAAATAAAAGAGTCAATGCCTAAATGTATTTTATGAGAAAATTAAAGTTTTTGACCTTGAATGAGTCTACTCCTTATGTAGGAGACCTCCAAAATGAAATACAAATGTATAATATGGGCACTTTAAGTGTTATACACTACATCAAATTGAAAGCTTTTTTAATTTATAATACCATGTAAAAAACAAAACTCATTGCCACCCAACAATAATCTACGGCACCGATTTAAAAATGCGAAAAAAAGGAGAGTGTGAGAGAGAGATAGAGAGCCTAAGACTAAACAAACAGCTTCACTTCCTCAGAGGGGTCATGTGCTCCACCTCAGGGCCCTCACATAAATGAATGCGCAGGACGACCCCCTCCACGTGCTCCAGAAAACCCTGTAAAAGTGTGCTGCTTCATTTAGCTTTCACATAACAGCTGGCAGACAGTCTAGTTTAGCAAAAGCAGTAGCTGCTTTCATCCCCTGACCTCTTATTATCCTCATGTTTTAACAAGTGTTACACGAAATTATGGGAGTATTTCGTTGCTAGTTTAATATCATATGACCCCACCCCCCCCACCCCCCCCCCCAAAAAAAAAAAAAAAAAAAAACATATTTGGACTCTTTAGATGCAATTCAAAAATAAAAATGCCCTTGAAAAATGTAACTAAATAAAAAGTGAGATTTATGTTAAAGTTCCTCTATCATAATATTTTAAGAGAAGTTTTATAAACTAATTTCCAGAGGAGCATGTGATATAATTGAACATTCTCATCTGTAATCAGTAATAATTTAATCAGATTGATCCAATCTTACAATAAATATACAGATTTTACCCCACTGCCTTACCTTCATTTTGGAAGAATCCTCCTTCCACTCCATCTCCTCCTTTCCCTCACTTTTATAAGGGGAGCTTTCGAGACCTACCTGATCTCGGACCCCCTTTATATGCTATTGACCAAATAGCATGCCAAATCTGCCATTTTTTAAAACTAAATGCTGTCTCTCTGTATCGATAGACATCAACAGAAGGACCACCATTCCTAAGATGCAAGCAAATGATCAGACTTTGATTAAAGATTACCAAAAAAACTTTTCTTCAGTGGATTAACTGGCACAGATTAGTTACCAGCTTTGCCATGAAAGTACAAAAAAGTTATTGCAAGTTATGGCAGTTATTGTTATTGTTTGTGTATTATCATTTGACCGGACTTTACTTTTCAGGTGAGCATTTGCGATACATGCATAACTGTATAAATGTACATGAGTGGAATATTAAGCTATTTTGAACTTTAATCGCACCATGCACGTAAGCTCATCGACAGTGCACTACACTGTTCTTATACCTTGATCGATGCGAACAAATTACCCTTGCACGAGACATTCTATTAAAATAAATGGGTTTCCTAGCACAACCCTATCTGCATCCAGTATAATAATCAGTTTAAGCTTGCACAGTTATGACTGGATGGAGAGCAAAACTAGCGCTGAACACTTCTATGCAGAACGGTGCAGCATAGCCTTTTTTGGAATCATATTTTTATGCAATTTTTAATGTTGTGGCTCTCTAGCAAATATACAGTACTTGTGATACACTTTTTTGTTAGAAAGTTCATATATCAGTGTCACGCACATCCAAATGCATACTCTGTTCTGTTGGTCAGTCACTAATAATGCATTTCTGAAACTAACCGACCATTCCTAAAACATTTAACAGTCTGAATTTGGTCTTGGGGCATCAAGGTGAGTTGGGTCAATTGGGTAAGCTAAATTGTCCGTAGTGTATGTGTGGGAATGAGTGTGTATGGCTGTTTCCCAGTGATGGGTTGCAGCTGGAAGGGCATGTCGATAAGTTGGCGGTTCGTTCTGCTGTGGCAACCCTAGATTAATAATGGGACTAAGCTGAAAATGAATGAATTTGGGCTGGTTCTAAAATAACATGATCTGAGCTTTTGTTTATTTTGTCCACAGATGAGCTCAGAGTTTTGCAACAGTGGTGATTGTGTGGAAAATCCTGTCCAGTTCCGCACGGCTAAAGAGAGACCTTATATTTATCATCGTTTTGGTTCTTCCTCTCCATCACTCACTAAGATCTGGTCATTATGAAGCTGTGCTGGACACTTTTCTCATGGCTTCTCACACTGCTAGTGATGCCAGTTTACAGTCAGAGCGGTGATGATGGAGAAGTGGGATCCGGTGACATTTCTGGGCCTTTGGTCAATGGCAGTTCCTCAGCCTCAATCCTCCATGCGGTCGGTGACGAGCCAGACAAGAACAGGCCGCTTTTTCAGACTCTTCCAGAGACGGAGAGCGGCGACTGTTATGTCAATTTCCACACCAGCCAAGTGATGTCACGGCGGTTACGAGCTTTTAGAGAGGAGGTTTCATATCTAAAGGCCATCCAGCATGGGAACCAGGCAGTGATGGAGAATCTGGTCCAATTTGTAGGAGCAGAAATGGGGGATCAGCGATACGAAGAGGTGATCCAAGAGAACATTGTCGGGATCAGGGAGGATCATGGGAGCTGTGGGAGTGTGGTGACGAAAGCAGCAGAGGAGATGGAGAATCAGCTGGAAGGAGACGCTCAGGCCACTCTGGCTGGAATTCAGAAGTGAGGGGAGTTTAATCTTAATAGGACAGTCATTCGCTCTAATCTCCAAGGCGGAGGTCCAAGGTTTTTAACTATTTAACTGTCACACAAATTGAAATTGATATATGACATATAGTATGCCTATTAATTAAAGATAAGTTCTGATTTAGACATTTTTAATGTACTGAAAAATGTATCTTACTGTACATTATGTCAGTGGTTCCCAAACTTTTTTTGCCTGAGACGGCTTTTCAGCTTGAAAATATTGTACGGCCGTTTTAAGGTAACATTTAATCATATTATCGCTCATAGAAATTTGCAGTACAGATGCAAAAAGGTTGTTTTCAGACAAACAGTATGTTTATTACTATATCTAGATATGTTTATGAACAAACAATAGCCTGATGTAAAATTTAGAAGCAAAACATCAGTAGGCCATTTGTAACTGAAGAACCCTATATTAGTTGCCAATTAGCTGCTAATTTTTCAAAAGTTTCTTGTCAGTGGATGTGACGTCCCTCATCTCATTTTGGATGTGTGTCAATACTTTTGCAAAAATACTCTGGGCTTGTTGCAGTGTTGGGGATGAGTCATCTGCAATTGTCTTATTAATTTGGACGGCCTCATGCATTCATTAGCAAGAACTTTGGTGCAGATAATGTACTGTGGCTGGGTCAGGGACTCTTTGCTTCGAGAAAATGGAATAAAACCATAGTTCAGGTAACTATCTTGGTATTTCCTGCTTTTCGTGTTTCCAGTATTGCTTGCGATACCAAAATGTTTAGAGCTTCCTCACCTGGGTCCAATATGCTTTGCTCATTAGTATTAGCTGCTGAAGGCGAATCAGTGATATCAGTGAAAATGGCGGACGTGAAACAACAAACTGAGGATGTGATTATGCATGCCTTTCAATCAATATTGGTGGACAGGGGTACCGCACTCCTACGTTAAGTTAAAAAAGGGTCTATACACTACACACGTCTGTCCAAACAGTTTAAAAAGATTTTTTACCATAGGTGACCTTTAAATTACTATGTATCCCAAATATATTTCAAATGTAAAAAATATATTATAATGTTATATTATATTAAGATTTTTTTTTATTTAATTTAGTTTTTATTATAATTTTTCCAATTAATGGAGAGTAAATAATGTATATATTGCTTATGACTAAACTATTTAGGTTTAAAACATAGTTCAGTGGTTCTCAAACTGTGGTACACACAACATATATTTCAAAATTTATAACAAATTATTTATATATGAATATGATAGCCTATATTTTTACATATAGCCTATATTTATGAGGTCCAAGCAACATTTCCAGGTTTTGATGAATAGGCTAATATGTTTATACTTTGCCTTTAAGTACAGTTTTTTTTGTTGTTGTACTTTTTAAGAACAGTAGCCCATCATTTTTAATTAACTTTTAAAGGGACATTTTAATTTAAACGTTGACATTTGATTTTGTTTGTTTGTTTGTTTTTACCTGTAAGCACAGTATTAACGTTCAAACTATTTATATTGTTTAAAGTGGCTGACAATAATAAATATTCTTAATAATAGGAATTTTAAAAATTAGGAATTAGGAATTTAAAAAATTAGTGCAGAGCTGTAGCTGCTTCATTGGGCCTACTACACTACTGTATTTCAATATTGGTGGTATTAATGTTATATGGTGGTGGTAATTTATTTCTGTGGTGGTACTTGATGAAAAATATGTAAGAACCACTGTTTTAGTTTTTTTACATTAGACATTTACTAACACTGTTCATTTTAAATACATTTTATTTAAATAGTAATTTATATATCTAAAATTTGGTGACACGGTGGCTCAGCGGTTAGTAGTGTTGCCTCACAGCAAGAAGGGCACTGGTTAGAGTCCCGCCTGGGCCAGTTGGCATTTCTGTGTATTGAGTTTGCATGTTCTCCCCATGGTCCAAAGACATGCGGTATAGGTGAACTGAATAAACTAAATTGGCCATCCGTAGTGTACAGTATGTGTGGAAATTAGTGTACATGGGTGTTTCCCAGTACTGGGTTGTAGCTGGAAGGGCATCCGCTGTGTAAAACATATGCTCGATAAGTTGGAGGTTCATTCTGCTGTGGCGACCCCATTTTAATAAAGGCACTCAGCCGAAAAGAAAATGAATGATTTATATATCTAAAATGTACTGAATATAAAGTACTAGCCTATATCTAAAATGTACATTTACTACAATGTTAATGACTAAATGTAATATATATTTTAAAAATTGTATTGTCTTTTGAAATATAAGGATACTGTATTTTATTTTATACATTTAATTTATACATTTTAAATACATTTATTTATTATTTACATACACTTTATACATTTCTTTTCCCCAAGTAATAAAATTACCCTATTATTGCAGCTTAAGTTTCAAGTTAAAAGGCAGTGAATTAAAAAAAATGTAGGGCCTCAAACAAACCACAGTGATGCTGCTTAGATTCTGGTGTCTAGGTTTTCCATCACCAGCCTGGACAGCAGGAAGGAATGTAAATTTCAGCCCCTGTGAGGCCCCTGGTTTAAGAAATACTAAGAGGCCCCTGTTCATTTCCTTTTTCCCCTTCTGTTTCTTGCTCTCCTGCATGCTCTCTCTCTCTCTCTCTCTCTCTCTTTCTCTATCTTGGATATTTTCTGATTTTTTTTCTTCTTTATGTTCTTAAGAATAAAAGAAGAGTCTCTTGCCTTTGAAGAACTGTTGCGTGCCGCCTCGGACATCGCTACTCGACTGGAGAGCACATCACGAGCCCTGCATGTGGAGATGATGGAACAGCTGAAGAAGAACACCAGACAGCGCGCTGAGCTAAATGAAGCCATCCGAGCTGGAAAAATACGATAAAAGTGTTAAATGGCATGTCACAACCTCATTTATGCATATTGTTTTAATAGCAATGCTGTCACATTATAGAGTCCCATACATGGATGTTTCTAAATAATGCCCAGCAGGCACAGGACATAAACATGATGTCAGATTGACGTTATACCCCAATGTCGTGGGGATGTTGCATATTGTTTGGAAATGAAAATCGGGTTGACGTAAATGTCAGGCTGACTTCAATGTACAACGTCCAACCTAAAATCAACAAAATATCAATTCAATTCAATTCAATTCAATTCAATTCAATTCAATTCAATTCAATTCAGCTTTATTTGTATAGCGCTTTTACAATGTAGATTGTGTCAAAGCAGCTTCACATAAATGGTCATAGTAACTGGAACAGTGTGGTTCAGGTTTTAGTGTTTAAGTTCAGTTCAGTTCAGTTTAGCTCTGTTCAGTGTGATTTAATCATTACTGAGAGTTCAAACACTGAAGAGCAAATTCATCGATGGGTAGCTCTACCAATCCTGAACCATGCGAGGCAGTGGCGACAGCGGAGAGGGAAAAAAAACTTCACCTGATGGGAGTGAAGAAAAAAAAACCTTGAGAGAACCAGACTCAGTTGGGCACGACCATTTTAATTTCTCCGCTGGCCAAAAGTCTTGTGCAGAAATTCATTCGCCGTGGTTTATGCTGGAAGATGGCCTCAATGAAGACTCGTCTGTCCCTGGAGCGTCGCTGGAATCAGACTCATGTTCTCCACTCCCCATGACCATCAGCGCAGCAGCAGCTCAGGATATGGCCTGGTCCCGAATATGGAATCCTTGGGATCATCACGTCGCTGGTCTTGGATCCAATCAGTGACTCCGCCTAATCTGAGGACCTCGGGATGAGTATCCCCAGGTGAAAATAGAGAATAAACATCTAATGATGTTACAGCTTGATGTTGTTTGGACATTACCACTAGGGGTGTGGCAAGATCGCATATCTAAATTGTAACGAGATCTTGCGAGTTGTGATGTTATGATGAAGCCTGAGAATGAAATTAGCCCTAAAGATTGGAGGCAGGTTCGAATTTGAACTGCAAATGAAATGTGTTTAGCTTGTCCTTTACTGCGTAGAGTTTATTAAGATAGAAATAAAACATCATTCATTTTATATTTAGAAAAGACACCTTAACTGTTTTGCAATTTGTGATTTTTATTTTTTAGTTGAATCTATTTTCCATTCATATATTTGCAAATATTTTTACCTACAGGTTGGGGTTGGGGGGACGTTTGGTTCATAGGTTGTTAGGCGACCATCAACCCTCATTAAGTGGCCCAAAGCCACACCACCTGCAACTTGATCTTCCATTGGTAAATTAATTTGATAAAAAAAGTGTGCGACATTTTCACACAGGAAAGCATGCTTTATGAGGGAATGTAACTGATATGATACGCTGCAACGGCCACTTTAATAACAAGATCAATGTAGCAAAGATAGCGAGCTGAAGATAGACAGTGTTGTTGCCAGGGCGGCCAGAGTGACCTTTGATGCTCTCACCGCCTTCAATGTGAAAGCACAGTTACTCATTAGTTGTGGGTTGAATTTGGGCGCTCAAGTGTCTCGGTAGATGTAAGAGAGAGAATACTGTCATCATCAAAATAAAAGATTTTTCAAAATAAAAGATCGTTCAGATTCAGATAATAAATAAAACAGAAATAATCATTGACTTCTTGTGCGACCCGGTACCAATTTATCCTTGGACTGCTACCGGTCCGCGGCCTGGTGGTTGAGGACTACTGCTTTACTGCATATAGTTCATTAAATAGAAGTAAAATAACATTCATTACAAGTTGAGTTAAAAAAGCACATAAATAGTTTTGCAATGTGTGTCATTTTTCCATTCATACATTTCATCATTGAAGATTTCTTAAAAATAGTGTAAAAATCTCGTCTCGCCTCGTTCTGATGAACAAAATCTCATGTCATCAATCTCTAGAGTAAGGGTCTCGTCACACCCCTAGTTAACACTATTAGATATAACGTCTATCGGCATTGGATTTTTTGTTGCCATACCAACAAATAAATGTCAGTATTTCACATCAATATGACGTTAGTTTAAGATGCTGGCTCAGCATTGGATTTTGGTCACTTAAAACAACCTAAAATCAACCAAATTTCAACGTCATTATTTAACGTCAAAATTACATTGTCTTTAGATGGTGGCCAGAAATTGAATGATGGTCACCTGACATCACAACCTAAATCTGATCTAATATTAATGCCTTATGACGTTGTGTGCCTGCTGGGTGTTAACTAGTGGTCAAAGGCCAGAGAAATTATATTTTATTTTTTTATGAAGTCTCTTTTGCTCACTAATAGTATTTATTTGGAAAAAAAAGAATATAATAAAAGCAGTAATATTGTGAAATTTTGTTTCAATTTAAAACATGTTTTTGTAATGAAATTAATTTGAGCATCATTACTCCAGTCTTCAGTGTCACATGATCTTTAAAAAAGAATTAAAATGTCATGATTTTTTACTCAATAAATATTTATGATTATTATCAACAGTAAAAAAAAATGTTGGGGTGCCAAATAGTTTGTAGAACATAGCATTCAAACAAGGTATTGCTAAAAAAACTTTAAATCAGTCCCATTATTACTTAGTTTTTGCTTTATTCAAATAAATGTTACACATCAAAGAACCCAGAAACGTGGACTGTTTTCATGTCATATAAAGCAGAAAGACATAATTTCACAATGTTACCATTTTATTATTTTTTTTGTTGTTGTTGTTGTTGTTGTTGAACAAATCTGTTGAGCTGAAAAGACTTTTTTCCAACATATAAAATTATTTCAAAAATCTCAAACTTTTACTAGGAATTTACAGAATTAACTTTATCTCCTCTTCTCTCTTTGGATTGTTTTCCTGCAAAGAACCTAGAGAATAGACTCAAACTATATTTTTCTCCCATGTCTGATGTTCATTTGTGAGCCGTAATGAAAACATAATGGCTTTGTCTACAAGAAAAACTGAAAAAAAATGGTCTTGGCAGTGAGGTGACATCTTTAAAAAAAAAATCTCTTTCCAAACACAGACAACCCCGCAGCAATGGTCTGGCTGTCTCGGCGCTCAGGAGCAGATGGTGAAAAGACTGTATGAGGCTTTGGAAATTGCAAGCAGCAGCTCATATACATTACAGAGAGAGAGAGGAGAGGTTCATGAGGGGTCATGGGGAGATTATCGGAGAAAAAGTGGAAGAGTAAAGAGGGGGTTACTTATATTTCTGTAAATTCTATAAAGTGCATTAAAATGCATAATTATAAAAATAAAGTTAAGTAAGGTCGACATTGCTTTTAAGTGAATGGGTTTACTCATACTTTTTAAAGTGAAGTTATTAATCGCTTTTTACAGTGTCTAAAGTGACAATAATAATTGTATGGTCAAACAATTACACACAACAAAACTGTTATGAATACTGTCACAACATAAAGATAACCATAAATTTAACCATGGTTTTACTACAAATAAACCAACAAACATGGTTGTGAACAATGGAAACCACAAATTAACCATGGTTTTCCTACACCATCCTATTTGTTTACAGTTGGGGTTATCAATTGTGTGTACAAATGGTGATCAATACATTTTTGATATGGTCAATTTTTGTGAGGGTATTTTTTCAGCTGACAAACTGTCAAATCCTTGACTGCAAATCAGAGATTTTAAAGACCTCAAGCATTTAAATTGGCAGACAATAAAAAATGGTAGCACATGCTTAGAACAACAATCATTATTGGCATGCAGTGTGTGTAAGCTTATTCTAATCTGTTCAGATTTGTATGAACAGCCTTTGCTCTTGTGAGAAATTGAAGATATTTTTGTATAATATTGGAAATATGTGGGTTCTCATAGTAGCCTACTTGAAAAACTTGTTAAATATCAGGGAGCTAAAAAAGTCAGTCAATATATAGTCAATATAGATTTTTATAGTAATTCCTCAGCTAGAAATTGTTCTGTGAGACTGTAAACTCTTTACATTGATTAAGTATAACATCCAGTTAACAAAAACCTTAAAGTCAATGAAAATAAGGTGTGGAAACCCTGAAATGCTATGAATGTACAATAAAAAAACTGTAAATAAACTGCTCATTTATGTAAAACAAATGTAAAATCCTATTTATAAATAAAGCTGAAATACAAACATGAGGGGAAATGATTAATTATATGTATGTAGTCTTACTACAAAAATTATAGAAAATTTGTAGTAGCCTAAATCTGGGTTTTTAATTATTATCATTTGTATAACCAGTTTTAGATTAAAGAATAAAACCCATGGTTATTCTTTTTTATTTAAGAAAATCCTTGTTTAAAAAATGATATAAGGCTATGGTAAAAACACAAATATTACGCTTATAGTTAAGTTACCTTGCACGTTAGCCAATTGAACCTTGTTGAAATTCGTCCGTCCATTCTTTATCGCGTTCTCAGACGTATACAGGACTTCAGCATTTTGGCGCTGTATGTTTACATAAGCCATTTATTTAACTGAATTATTGTTATGAATGGATCGTAAAGTCACTCGGAGTTTGTATCACTTTCAGCTGTTGATTGAGCTGAGCTCTCGTTTCCCTTCGGCATTCATTCAGCTATCCTGACCTCTAGCGGTTTTCGGCTGCAATAACAAATCATGGTAAAAGTAGTTGTACATAATTGAAGTATGTTTTATTTTTATTTATTTATTTTTGGTCAGCATTTCTGATTTTGTCCGAGATAATTATGTTGTTTTATTAAAAACAAAAAAACGCATTTAAATGTGTTGCTAATTGAATTCGGCCTAATTGAAATTCTGTGATAGGCCCCTCCTCCCTCTATGTCTGTCTGACATGAAAGTGTAGATGCGGAAAGAGAGAGGGAAAGAGAGATGCTCAGTCTGGAGTAAATCCTGGAAACAGCAGGAGCCCGGTCAGGAGTGTAAACCTGCACTTTCTGACATAAATGGAGTCCCTTTGGAAAATATCTGCTTCTATATCAATACTTATTTTTGAATGGACGAGGAAATAAATACTTTTGCAGCACGGAATCTGTGTTTTTGATCTTCAGCTGAACAGGTGCGCCAAACTAAAGATTCTCAACCTGCCTGTTCCCTCTTTTTTGTACGGAACTTCCGTGTTGGAATAACAAGAATGGATAAACACTGGATTTATGCAACTTAATTCAAAATATATTTACGAAAAACACTTGAAAAGAACATCTCACCTTAAATATTACAACCAGCGGGTTGAACAACAGGAAAAATAGAAGTCATGAAAACAACTGAATTATACGGAAACTGGAGCGTGGAATCCAGCTGAAAATAGAAATGTTTTGAAAGTGTTTGGCTGTATAATGGCAAGCTTTACGAATCAGCTGGTCTTTCTGAGAATTACCCTTCTCTGTACTATCATATGTGAGTCAAGTAAGTTTCATCTCTAATTTTCTCTTTTTCCCTCCACAAAGAGCCAGAATTGAAAATATAGATAATTTTTGTTTTAATAATTTTAACATAGCAGAACTTTGTCTGGTTCCTCAAAGAAACTTTTAGTAAAAGGTTCTTTATACATAATATAACCTTTGTGGACTAAAAAAAGAATCCATGGACTTCATAGAACCATAAAATAAACAACCTTTTTTTTTTTTTTTTCACAGTGGAAGCGAGGTACAGTAGCTGGTCATTATGCATTATCCACAATAGTCGGTCAGTCATAAATAAATACACACATACATTCATAAACAAACAACATAATGACCCAGTATAATCAGCTATACAGTGGGTTTGTAAGCTTGAACAAGGTTGCCACAGAAACACACAATTCAGCCTAATAGCATAAGCATTCTTACAATGATCGTTCCTTAAAAAACTTTAGTAACAAGCTTTTCATTTCACAAGACTTAATTAATATTGAAAAAAATCCAAAAAATATATAATAATAATGTCTTTATTTGTTCTTTTAAGAAATGTTATTTGTGGAACCAAAAAAATGTTTTCTCTGTGGGATCACCACTAACACCCTCATTTTGGAATCTTTATTTTTATGGCACAAAGTTTACATTTGTTTGGTTTATGCTTTATCAATTTGATTCACCGTCAGTCACCTTCTGAAATTTAAAAGCTCTGGTTTTTAGCTGGTTCAGAGTGAGGGAACAGCTTAAAAAATTAGAGATCTTTATTTGCATCAATGTATCCATGAAGAATCTTTAATTCATTGGGATTTTACCTTTTACAAATTTTCTTTACTGTTGGGAAAAGGAGGTTCTTTAGATTTAAAATTAGTCCCTTTATTAATCTGGGGTCCCCACAGCAGAATGAACCATCAACTTATCCAGCATATGTTTTACAAAGCAGATGCCCTTCCAGCTGCAACCCATCACTGAAACATCCATACACACTCATTCACACACATACACTACGGACAATTTAGCTTACCCAATTCACTTACCGTATGTCTTTGGACTTGTGGGGGAAACCGGAGCACCCAGAGGAAACCCATGTGAACGCGGGGAGAACATGCAAACTCCACACAAAAATTCCAACTGTTTCAGCCGAGGCTCCAACCAGTGACCTTTTTGCTGTGAGGCGACAGCACTACCTACTGCGCCACCGCATCACCTAGATTTAAAATTGTTCTTCACAAATGTTCCTCTTCAACACGTCACTTTGGATGAACATGTAAAAAAATGAATAAATAATACACAAATTTGATATTTTAAGAACTGTTTACTGAAAGGTTCCATGAGGAAACACTGATAGACTTATATAAGGCATCACAGCAAACAAACAAACTTCTAGAAAGAGCATCTTAAATCAGCTAAGATTAAATCAGCATGCAGAGTCAGATTCAGGGGTACAGTACAGTCTGAGTGGCTTTCACTTCCACATCCAGTGATTAGAATGGTGCGCACGATTGGCAGTAAAATGAAACGTCCTCTCTGGCCAAACTGGTGCTTAAATCAAAGCAGATTTATTAGGCTTTGCTCATCACTCTGCGTTTACATCTCTTCACTTCACCACGAGCGTCTCTTTATTTGTGTGACCGCTTGCTGTCAACAGCACTGGACTCCTGATGAATGAACATCACAGGGATTTTCAGCTGCGCATCTGCGCCTTTACTCTATAGTGCTGCTGTTCGCATCCAATCTACTTAAGATCGAGAGTTGAAGGAGGAGACCTGAAGAAGTAGGTCTCTGTCCAGTTTCAGGTCTGAGCTTTGATACAGCCTGTAAAAGTGTAGAGTGTAATTCGTGCACCCGCTCTGCTTCTTTCAGACAGCAGATGTAGTTTGAGAGGCTGAGGCTGCGCTACTCCAAACTACAACTGGGATAAAGCTACATCTAATGGACTTTTATATTGTATAAAGAAGAAATATAAAGGAGAAAGGAAAGTCTGGTGCTTAATCTAGGTTTAGTTAATGTGCGTTTTATTCAAGTAAATAATTTATATTTTTATTAAGTGACCTTGAAACCTTTGATCTCAAAATTTAGGAAGGCTACAATGAACTCATTTTGTTCGTATTATATTAAATGTCTCTCTTAGGTGGGATACGGGGTAAGGTTAGGGGATTGGTTTGGTATGGGGAGGTTTAGGTTACGGTGTAAGGGATGGATCAACAGTGTAACAATTGTAATTACAGAAACTAGGTACAGACATAATTACTTGAAGATGTTTATATATATATATATATAGCTATGATGTAAAAACAAATATCAGGATTTAAAGCTAATGATTTTTTCTACTGGCATAATTGGGCCAGTGGTTCAGATTTTTATTTGCCCTGCCAAAATTTACTGATCCATGTTTTAAATAATGTGTCAAAAAGAATGTCTGTGAATCTAGAATTTAAACGTTTTAAAAATGTTAACAAATGTATAATAAGAAAAATTCAAAGTGATATGTAAAAAATAAGAGCAGTATAGAAAATGTGCTGGTATTATATTGCTGTTCCTAATTATGTAACGAAAGGTGGCTGACTTGCCAAACTGACTGCAAACCAAAGACTATAGAATATACAAGATGTGTCACTCATATCTTTTTGAATGGGGAACAGGGTAACTGTCAATATGGTGAATAAAGCTCTGGCTACTAGTATAGGAGCAAATCAGCGATCGCTATATGGCAAATAAAGCCCGCCTTCTAGTACAGGAGCCAATCATTGATCGCTATAGAGTTACAATACTCTAGGGGAGGGGCTTGGACCAGACGTGAGTTTCTGCAGATTTTGTGTGATTTAGGCATTTAGAATGAAACTAAAGGGACATTTGTTGTTCAATTTTATTGGAGATTCCAACGCAATCTCAGCAATTCGTAGCTTTTTGATTTAGTGGCTAATTCGTATGAATTCATATGATCTAATTTGTACAATTTAGTACGATTTGCTCATCAACCAATGACTGACAACCTTACGACTGTACTCGTACGAATTTGTACGAATTAGCCACAATCCTGACAAAACATAAAATACTTACGTTTCCTTGTGAGATCAGGCTGGCGATTCCTAATATGAAATGTAATCGTAAGCTTGGCAAGCAGTTTTGGAGAATTTGATGTTTCCCCATTTAAACAGAATGCCCGAGCATACTTCCCAAAAGGCATTTTAAAGATGGCCGACGAGTGAAATGACTTGCCTTAAAGAGACTTTGGCAAAACATCACTTCATTTATTTGTCGTGCTGTACCAATACAAATGTCTGCTTCCTAGATGTTAGAAACAGACATTTTCTTTAAGCCACATAGTTTGATGTTGCCTCTTCACTATAACCAGGTTATAGAAAGAAAAAATAAATTCTCACAACATCCAATCAGAAAAGAGGAACCAAAAAGCAATATTGTGTTTACAACATCACAGAGAAGGTAACATTTAGAGGCTTAAAACCACAAATTGTTTCTCGATTCTAAGACATTATTTTTATATTTTATTTGCACGCAATTGACAAATAGTCTCAGGCAAATAAAACTTTAGTCAATAGGCAGCACTGATCTGGCCAGTAACGATTCTGTCAGCTGTCCCGAACATCTCTCATGCAAGCCCCGGGCCATCTTGTTTATGTATATAACAAGTGCCTTGTACCAAATGACTAATTTAAATGTAAGTGCATAGTTATTAAAGTTACTTGATATAAAACTGTACCATAATATATTTTATTAATATTTGTAATAATACTACTGTTACAACCTATTGTACTCTATTATACTATACTTTTATACTACTACTATGATAAATAAATGGCTATAAGAAAAAACTTACATATAATCACAATTTAAAAAGGAAAAACTGACTTGTTACATTGTATTCCTGTTAGAAGTAAACTAGAGATTAATGAATGATGTGGAGAAATTGATACTAAATCACCTACACATTTGACCATTTATTAATTGATGGATTGATTTTACTAGTGTAAATTAACTTTTTAATTTTACAATTTGTTTAGTATTTGAATTAACTAAACATATTATGTATATATTTTTTATTTTTTTATTATTATTATTATTTTTTATTTAATTATATAATCTGACTATATGGAAAACACCCGAACTGTTCCACAAAGTATACCGTGTTGCTGATTAATTATCAATTTCATTTAAATTTCAGTCATTTACATTAATCTATGCATTCTTTTTTAAACTTATACAGCTCAGGTGGGCTGTTTTCTTCTAAATATACACCATTCCCAGCCAGCCTCTGAGTAATAATAGCTTTAGACCGCATGTCCTGTCCATAATATGCTTATAAAAAGCAAGAAATGTGCCAGAGGTGAGAAAATATTTGTCTCCCCGTCTGCAGGCTGCTGACTGTAGTCGCTGACAGTGCTTGCATTTCATATCATGTCCCGCTGTGCTAATGCCCTGTGGTGCAGACCCTAAATCTGACTTGTTAATGGCATGTTGTCACTGGCCCAGAGTGTGACTCATTGTGCCAGCAGGACCCGAGGGAGATCACTTTCCCAGCCACGCTATACAGCACTTAAATAGCCAGGCTGACACATGCTAGGTGCAAACCCTGTCCTCTGGGTTCAGTTCTAATGTCCCGTCAGCTCAGAGATGAGACCACTGGCTTAATGGTGTCGAGGCTCTGTCCTGCACAGGTGTCAGCCAAATGTTGCAGGGATTTCAGGACACCAGGACAAAAAAAAAAACAACAACTAGAGAATCAATCATCATTCAGTTACTGTATAGCCACTCTGGTCCACATACTGTAGTGTACAGTGTAAAGCTGTCTGATTCTTGGAGATCAGATGTTGGTGTGTCTGGGATGAGGTAACATATAAATAGAGGATGATAGATTTATTTATTATAGTTTTTGAGCCATTCAGCAATATTAGGCAGCACTGGAACTTTTCATTGTTGATGTTTGCATTTACTAGTCTGTTAGTAATTCAGTTAGTCAGTCTTTTTTTTTTTTTGCATAATTTTATTTTGCATGTA